GCATGGAGGCGATGCCCTGTCACAACCCGCAGCTCGGCCCGCGCCAGCAGCAGCAGCCGCAGGACGAGCCGCAGCCCGGGCCCGGGCCCGGCGGCGGGTGCGGCGGCTCGCGGCTCATCCGCTTCGCGGAGCCCGGCGAGAGCAGCGGCAGCGGCAGCCCCAGCCCCGACAGCAGCAGCGGCAGCGGCAGCAACGGGCTGCTCCCGCCGCCCGAGGCGGCCGCGCCGCACCTGGGCGCCCAGCTCAAGCTGCTGCCCATGAACGACCAGATCCGCGAGCTGCAGACCATCATCAGGGACAAGTGAGCGCGGGGCCGGGGCCGGGGCCGCGGCCGGGCCTCCCCTCGCGGCGGCGGCGGCGGCGCCAGCGTGGCGGCCATGGCGGCGCCGCCGCATCCCGGGCGGAGGCGGTGTCACCTGCGCCGCCCGCGCGGAGAGCGGGTAGGGCTCSCCCCCCACTGCCCGGTATGCCGGGAGCCGGGATTCCGTCCGCCGTGGAGCGGGTCGGGACAGCGGAGCGGCTTGGAGGGGCGGCGAGGGACGGGTGCCGGCGTTGGGGGTGGATGTCTGTGAAACGGCCGGTTTGGGCGGGGGGGAGGTTGGGCCCAGCAAGGTGAGGATGTGCGGAGCGGTGTCGGGGGAGGAGGGCGCATGGAAGAGCACAGATCACAAGGGCAGCCTGAGCGAGGAGGAGGAAAACGCCTGGAGAGGAGCAGGGTTGGCTGGAATGGAGTCACATCAGAGCCCTGAGGAGCAGAGACTGGGAGTGATCCAGCAGGAAGAACAGTTTGGAGACRTGGAGAAAAGCGGGATGGGCGAGGAGAAGTGAGGGAGAATGACGGCCTTGGGAGAGAAGCGAATCAAAGTGGGAGGCAGGTGATGGAGAAGGGTTTACCGAGGGCACACGTCCCTCCAAAGGACACGGCCTTTTTAGAAGGCCTCGTAGCTGTCCCTTGGTGTCACTGAGAGTCCTTGCTGCCGCCAGACCTTGTGGGGCATGAAGATGATGTCCTGGTTGTCCAAATGATCAACCAAGGTGCAGAAATCCATGCAAGATTGTGCCCCTACTGCTCAATGTCCCGTGTGCTCAAGAGCTGATGCGCTTGTGGATGTTCCGTGGTGTTCCAGGCGTGGAAAGCTCATTGATTGCACTCACAGCTTTGCTCGCTCAGCGTTTGGAAGGCAATGTTACAAGGTATTAAATATAACGTGCAATATAGGACAAACAGACGCAGCAGGCACCTCTTAAGAGCACAGCTTGGGACTTGCCCCTACGCGGGAATCCCCATCACAGAGGTGTGAAATCTGGAGTGTAGATAGCGTGTTCGGGTTCTGAACACGTCCTTCCCTTCGTGCAGCGCCTTGGCTTTCTAACACGTGTGTAAGTAACGCAGCACCGACACGTTTCTTCCCCTTGTTTCAGATCTGCCCTGGCTTTATAGCCGTATTTTGGTGTTTCTTGGGTCTTGAGTGCTTAGCTTTCCAACTGCAATGACACTAATGTGTTTTTATACAAAGCTAATCATCATCTCTGAAAGACCTTCATTAATGATATTATTTTGTGTATTTAGTTRTTGCTATTTTTTACTTTAAGCTATTATAATTTAATTTTACCTTAAAAGCAGTGAGAAAAGCAACTCTTGTTGCAGACGTGAGCAAACAGAGCTCATGCCGCCTCCCCGTACAGCGGGGCAGCTGTGGCAAGAACACACAAAGTATCTCCACAGGTGAGAATATCTCTTTAGGAGCTCCCCTGCAGAGCTGAACGGGAAGCTGTGAGTAGGCTAAGCAGAGAGAAAGGGAGGAGGAATCCACACTAGGCTTGCTTCGGCCTCTGAAAGGCTTTAAGGTTAATGAAAAGGAAATAGCGTGTAGTGTTGGTATCAGGAAGGGTGGTAGCAGTGTGGTTACTGCATGCAGTTGGGGCTTTTATTAGTATTTTGTTGCACGTAAGTCTTGATTTCTTGCAAATACACCGAGTTACTCTCTGATATTTTAGTAWGTCAACTAACATTTTACTCTCAAAGAGATTTTTTTCTTTTAAGTTGCGTCAGATTCATTGCACAATACTTCCTTAAGGGGAAGTGTGGAATCAGACTTGTAAATAATGAATCACTCCGAGCAGCTGGGGTGACAGCGAACTGGGCTCCGTTCCGAACAGGACCCTGGCGTGGCAGGGGCTGTGACGACTCCCCAGCTCMTTTCCCACCCAGAATGAGAAGCCACGCTCTCTTGGCTCTGTCTGTGACAACAATAGGGGCCCATTATTTTCATGCTCTGCCCCAGAGAGGCGGCTGCATTTCAGGAAAGAAGGGACCTCAGGGTGCCCTACCTTAGTGCCAGTCATGCAGGAAGATGTGAAAATGTGCTGGGCTGTTGGGGTGAGAGGACTTGTTATGTGCTGGTTAGAAATTGATGCACCAACCTTTTCTTGGGCCTATAGGATGTATGAACAACTACTGCTTTTGAATCAAGTGCTAAAAGATAAAACACAATGTGAATAAGCAGTTTTATGGCTGAGAGAAGTCCTGGTCAAACAACACGATTTAAAGTGATGTAAGGGTATTTTCACTCAYGCTCCTTGGGAAAGAGGGGAAAGCTGTGTCATTTACAAGGCTTTAGATACCCGTCACTTTATCTTCTACATTAAAAGGAAAAGGAAAGCAGGTGCATGAATTCAAGGAGGGTCTTTGGTTAAATGCTGTTGCAGGGGGTGAAGGTGCAGGTTGCTGCAGAGCCGTGGGCTGGTCTGGGCAGTGTCTATCATCAGCAGTAGGGAAATGGGGCTTCTTCCCTTCTTATAGGTAGGCTCTTAGAACTGCACTGGGACAAATAGGACTTTTGATATTATCCTATGTACAGCATCTACTAGCAAGTCAAAGTTGTTGTGATAATACACTCTATTATAGAGAACACTTGAGACAAACGACTGAATCATAAGGGTAATTTGCTGCACTAAAATTAGCAGTATTTCTCCTGCCTCCTCTGCTGTAGCTATCACTGAAGGTAAGGCAGACGTGGCCGGCGTGCCAGAGCCCGGGAGATGCGGTGGAGCTCCCGCATCCACGCGTGCCTTGGTTGGCTCGTCCTCCCTGTCCTGTTTGCCCTCTAGTCTGTGTGTTCCCCTTGGGTTCTGGCTCTTCTGAGGCCACTTTCCAAGGAGTGCATCACAAATTCCTTTCTGGCCTGCACGGATGAGCATCTAGAAGCGAAAACAAGCAGCGTGGAAATGTGCGGGATAGATCTCTAGCTCCTGTAGAAGCAAATGCATTAGCTCAGGTTGCTAGCTAATTTTAAACCCCAATTTAACACTAGACATGATTGAAATGTAGGTATTTGAGGGTTATTGTGTCTTTCATGTGAGATTGTAGTGCTGTGTCCTGCTTAGACTCCTTATTCCCTGTGGAAATGAGTGAACAATATAGAAATATAAAGCAGTAGGACACGCGGTCCTGACTGCCATTCAGAGCAGGATGATTCAACAGCGAATAACTCGTCGGTGATGAGTAACGATGACTGTTCTGCAGGCAGGAAGGGCGGAATCACTTTCACATTTTGCTTGCCGTAGCACAGGAACTAAAAATGCGGAGCGCTCAAGTCCCTCATGTCTCCTTGTCCCAAAAAACTGAACATGACCCTGTTCCCTAACTGCATCATCTCCTTGTGAAGGCAACAGTCCTCTCCATATGCAAGTTTCCTTACCAAGATTTTTCACAAATTCTGCTCAAAGTGGCCTTTTTTTCCCACATCCTGTCCTCCCAGCACTGTAGGGGTCTCTCGAGACATGGGTCTATGTGACAGAGAAACAGGATTTACTGAAGCTGGCCAGCCCTCAACCCGGGTACCCAGCAYCCCTACACCCATGCAGTCAGGTTTGTGCAAGGGGCATTTTCAAAAAAAACAACATTTTTTTCTCAATTCTTAAGATTTGTTTAATGACTTTTATCATACACAGCAGCAAGGCTTCTATCTTTTCAGGAATAAAAGCAAAAAGAAATTTGATTTTGTTTAATACAATTTTCATGTTGTTTTCTATGCCTTGTGACACTCAGATTTTAGTGTCACATCCTTGAATATTGTTATATTGTTAAGAAAAAATAAAGCTTCTAGTGTACCATAAATCATTACTTTGTATACTGCTATCTAGTATTTAAGATGAACAATTCCAGTGTTTTCACCTGAGCCTTTTTCTGGCCCCTAGCAATTCTTACATGATGTCTCTTGTATGGTGATGATCTGCTCACAGCTTTCCAGCTGTTGGTGTACAAGAGGTCTGTAGTTTTCAGTATTTTTCCTCTTTATCTCTTAATTTCTGTGTGTGCCACCATTTTCTGTAACCTTTTGTCCCTGCAATAAAGGGGCAGAACTGACCAAGGGTTCCATGGACTGTGCATAAAATCATCCATGTCTCTGCAAGGATAAATTGGATAATTTGARCCCAGTAATCTGTATAAGTAACTGTGGTGATCACTCTAAATGTGTATTATTTTGCAAGCAAAATGCAGTTGGGACATTGCTTTAGTACCCATTCACTAAATATGGCTATTTTGAAATGTCACAGTCTAGAAGAATCTGCATGTGCCATATATATACTTTGCCACTTCACTATTTTATATATAAGATTATATATATATATATACACACACACATCTCAGATGGGAATATGAATTCCTTCAGAAATCCCAAAAAGACAAAATGAATTTGTACAATTGTAAGGTTTTATTTTTTGAGTGTCGTTTTTCTGGTTTATATCAAAGTGGAAGAAAATTATGAATATCTTGTCATTGCCAGAAAGAGGTAAAAGCAGAAAAACAGGCAGCGTTTTTAGTAATGAATAATGCATTAGTAGCACAAGGAAAGAAATTAGAATAGGATGACAGTCTTTTTTAAAAAATCTTTTTTTTTTTTTTTTTAGTGTGGCTAAGTTACCAGTTGTCCAGGAAATAAGCAGCCAAACTTCTTGACTTTCACTCATCTAAAAGTAAGATGTTGCAGTAATTTGGGGATTAAATGCAAAACTCTCTTTATGGGAACTTAAAGAGACATCAAGAGTATCTTAGTTTGAAAACGAGAGGCATTTGCTTACGATTAAAAGGAAATTTTGCTTAATCTTACAATTTTGCATCTCACAATTTGAACATTACGCTGATGTTTTCTCAGTATTTTTAAGGCTATGATGCTTTGACTGGTGGATCCTGAATCTGCAATGCAAGTTTGTCCTTCTCTTGTGCAGTGGCAGTTGTCCTGAGCTGGAGCAAGGTGCTAAGAACCTGGTTTTGACAGTCAGGCTTTAAACGTGGTCTCTTTGCCCAGCACGTTGCAGGAAGAGGGGAGCTTGGAACAGGCCAAAAGCGGAGCAGCCGTTTCAGCAAAAAGTTATTTTCCTCGTTTTTAGCAAAAAGGTGTTTCCCTCGGGTACCCCTGCTCGTTGTAGCCCCGGGCTCACAGACCTGGGCAGGGCTGACATGGGTCTGCTTTGCGCTCCTCGGCTCCGGGCAGCGGGGCTGGAGCGCTGCCGGGGACACAGCGGGAAACCTGCGGAAAAGCGGCCGCCCGGCACCCCGATCCGTGGCCGTGGTGCGGGGAGCGGCAGCCACARCGCGGGGCGGCTCCGCGGGGGAGCCCGAGGAGGCCACCTCTCTTACACACTGTGCAGGACGGAATCACTACGGAATTAGAACTAACTATCACTATGGAATGAGRACTAACTGCTAAAGCTAGTGTATGGCAGGAGACTTTCCCTTAGAGTATGTTGTGCTTGGATTTAATATTGTAGCTAATTGATGTTCTTGCGATTATTCACAATTTAATATAGAAATTATTACCTTTTTCAGGACAGCCAGTAGAGGAGACTTCGTATTTTCTGCAGATCGTCTGGTAGGTGAAGAATTTCTTCTTCTTGGTGTTCTGCTTTGTAACTGTTCAATAAAACAGGTCTTTCTTGGTAGAATAATAGTGGCGTAAGAGCAACATTGCTACACAAAGGAAGCAGTTTTCTGTATAGGGACTCGTGTGCTTTGTTACCGACTGCTTTCATCTCAAAGGGTTCCAGACACCGTGTTATTATCAGACATCACTACTTCAGGATAAAGAGAAGTAGTAATGGAGAATACTGGGTGGAAACAGATGCACGGGGGCTGGAGATAATTCAGATTGAGTTTGAAACAGTACTTTTGATCTTGTGAACAGAGCTGTATGGTTCCTGTATGCAATTAGTTTTAACATCTAGGCCGTAAGAAGTGCCTCTTGGCACTTACTGTGTATTAGATTTGTAACTCTGGGGGCACCCACACTGCGAGTTTCCTTTTAACCATATGGTAGTTACTAGCAGGGACAAGGCAATTTAAAGTTTTCAAACATTTTAGTAAGTCAGAACAAAGGCTATTTGTAATGCAACATTTATCTCAGTTAAATTACATGCTTTAAAAAACCCACAACACCCACTCGCACACATACACTGCCTTGTACTCCAGAAGTAGTTTCCTGTTTGTAACTCTACACTGATCAACAGGAACAACCCTATTTTCTCCCTCTAGTGAAGGCTGCAGAGTTCAGAGCAGCACAAGCTGCTAGGGCAGACAGGCTCCCAGTGAGAGACCCTGTCTTAATCCATGATCCTGATCCAGCCTTGCCGTGGACCTGGCCACAGCCTGAGGTTGTGACTGCAGCACTTTTTACCAGCAGGTTGTTCCACTTCACCTCTGCTTTTCCGTTCCTGAGCATGTTTCTTATATTCCCGTTTGCAAGAACATTAAAGGTGAACCAGTGAGCTCCTTGTAAGGGCACTTCCCAAGGGGYGTGCAAAGAGCCGTGGTCCCAGCTTCACCCTGTGCTTAACACCCTGTGCTCTGTCCAAATGTCTCAGAAACACACACTTAAATCAAGGGGTTCTTGGTTTGCTTCTGTCAGAAGATGTCCTTCCACTAGCTCTCTCTCCCAGATAGAAACACTAGTGCCTTCAATCTCCGTATTAAAGCGTTCCGGAAAAGACTGAGGAAGAAAACTCTAGATATAGAGGAGGAGGAGGAAGGTGTTAGGACTTGCTGCCTGGCATTCATTGCCTGGAGCTGCCAAACACGTGCAGCGAGTGGGGCACAGAGGGCAGCGGGCTGGGCGCGGGGACCTGGAGCTGCAGACCCCGTGCGCTGTTAGTTGTGTGAGTTGCTTTTTTCGCTAATTTGCTCCCTTCTTTATTTGTGGATTCCACCATCTTTGCTCCTCACTGGTTTGGTCTGACTGCTGCCCCTGAATTTGGCTTCCCACAAGTCTAAATCTAGGTAAAAAGTCCTGTAGTTCCAAAATTGCTAAAAAGATTATTGCAAGAGAGACTTTTAAAGAGACCTTTGCTAATTCCTAGTATTCCATACGTGSCTGCATGCTGCAAAGTAGGGCAGAATAGAAAAGGTTAATCTTCTAGCCTTTTCTGCCCCATTTCTGGGATTAGAAGTGTCCGAAATGAGAGAGACCCTTGCCTGGTCCCGGGAGCGACCGCCTCCATTCTGCTGCCGTGCAGCGGCTTTTGCTCGGTGGGTTTCATCTCCCACTGACGCCAGCCTTGGAGCTCTGGCTTCACAAGCAAAACGCTGCCCGGTTCTGCTCAGCCAGCACCTCCTGCATGGGAGATGGCCCTCGGTCTGTGCCCAGCGGGGCTGGAGCAACGGGGCCGTGAGGAGCTTCCCTGGCCGGCTCGCGGGGCTGGCGCGGTCGGGTGCTTTGCTGCAGCGCCGAGGCYGTTCGGGCCCCTCTGCAGCGCGCGCACAGAAACACCGGCGTGGAAACAGACCCCGGGGCTGAGCCGATAGCGGAGCTCCTGCCGCTTGGGATTTGTAAGGCAAACATTTGATCTGTGGACAGAACACACACATCACCCTCAAAACACCCAAAGTGCCCCCCAACTGCTGCTAAGAGCAGCTGACAAGTGTTCACCCACTGCGTGCAAAATCACTAGCGACTAGGGTCCCATCTCCATCGTTTGAAAGAAAACCCTGAAGTTTCCGATTCCTGTTTTGGTTTCACAGATCAGACTGGTGGTTGAAGAGGGCCTGAACCAGCTGCCGTACACGGAGTGCACGGTGACCACCCCGACGGGTAAGCGGGACSCCTGCGCCAGGGCCCGGGCACTCAGCTTTAAAGAAACACTTTAGCATCGACAGCTGAGCTTCACAGTGTCTTGTAGGCTGGAAGGTGTAACGCGCTTCAGCAAAACATATAGTTGTCCTCTTACTGAGGTTTTAAAAATCAGCCTCGCAAAATGGTGATGAGAATTCCCCCAGCTATGTGCAGTCTCAGCTTGCTTACCCTTATCACAGTGTTGAATTAAAACTGATGACATTTCACATGCCTGTTAAAGAAGAATACTCAGCAGAAGCAGTTTTGCAATGCCAGCTCAAATCTGCCTCTGTTTACAGCCAGGGCCAGCTGGGAGTGATGATAGGCAGGAAATAGAAAGGGGCTGTGGTAAGACCAGAGGAAACCCRTTGCAACAGAGCTGGTCTGCTCCTGTTAAGATTCAAGGTGTGTGAGGGTGCAGGCGTTGCTCGCAGGTACACGGTGAAAGCCTGGAGGGCAGCAGCCTTCCCGAGCAGCTCGTGCGCGCCCACAGAGCCTGTGGCACCCACACACCATCCTTTACCAAGTTAYGGTTTTGGTCCTGTGACTATCGCTTATTTTAGGGCTGCAGGGGTTGATGTGCAGCCTCAAAAAAATGGTTTGTGCCACTTGTTCAAAACTTGCAACTCAGGGTCCTACCCAAGGCATAAAGGGGGTATCAGTTCCAGTCTCATGAATGTCACTTAAAACGACAGTACCTTAAAGGGGCAGTAAAACGGGACAAGAAGGGAACAGTCACTTCYACTGATACTTGGTCTTTCTTTCTTCTACTAGGATACAAGTATGAAGGAGTGAAATTTGAAAAGGGAAACTGCGGCGTCAGCATTATGAGAAGTGGTAGGCAAGTTTTGGTTGTCCAATGAGTTCGAAGCTTTTGCATCTTGTAGAACAACTTCATTATTTTAAAAATGCGSTCGACTTTTACCCAAACCTGCCAGTTGCCATTCTTCATTAGGTACCCTGAGCACGTTTCACATTTTTAGCAGACAAATAGCTGCAGTGGATTTCCTCTGACTTTTCCTCTCACAACAGTTTAACATTAGAGGATCTTCCAACCTATTGGGATTACTGTCCTCCATTTTTTACCACTAACCTTTTTTGCTTAAAGATAAATAAGCTTTGTTAAATTGTTTAAGTGGTAGAGATGCTGTTATTCTGTCTAGTACTTTTTGACTCTTCATATCTCTGATATAAAATCCAGTGGCTCCACAGCTTTCTGTGCTACTTACTGCGTGATGGTAGCCTTCAAAAATGCTTCTCAAACCAGAAGGGCATTACTGCATTATTTGTATTTAAGTYTTAGCATCTTTTCTTTGAAAACTTGCTTAACACGAGTATATGGGGATGCAAAAAGTCAGAAAATAAGTGACACTGAGGAGGATTTTCCATCTAAACAGAAGAAAAAAGAAAGTCTTTTTAATAAGCTAAAAATATGCTCTTTAAAACTCTTCACCAATGCCATGTTATGGCTGTCAATTTAATTGTAGAATTTTGTAACTGTGCCCTTTTTAGCATGTAACAGTTTTCTGTTGGGTTTTGCTTGCTGTTCAATTTGAGGAGAGGCAATGGAGCAAGGTTTGCGAGACTGCTGCAGATCCATCCGCATAGGAAAAATCCTGATACAGAGCGACGAAGAGACTCAGAGAGCCAAGGTTTACTATGCTAAGTTCCCTCCAGACATCTACAGGAGAAAAGTTCTTCTTATGTACCCAATACTAAGTAAGTTTCTTGCACAATTATTTACAGTTAGACCTCTCTGTTCTGTATTTAGAAGAAAATTCAGGAATTTCCTGGGCTTGTATTAGGTTGATGGCTTGTTTTAAGTGTCATAGTACAGAATATATCAAATTTGTGCCAGAATATGCATCAGTCAGACTCCATTAGCGTGAATGCAGAGCAAATTGTTTAAGCAAAGCTTAAATCAAGCTTTAAGATTTGATGTAAATTACATTTTTTAACATTTCTTTATTCTGTCACGAGAAGTCTTCAACTTTTGACCATGCAATTAAAAGACTTTTTCTTGATGAGTCCTATAATCCTAGAGCTCTATTATTTTAAAATTAAATGCAACTAATACTAAGAAAAGAAAAAAACTCAATTTGGCAAGGAGTTTGTTGGGATGAAGTGGATTTTCCAGCCTTAAGGTTTAATTCTGTGTCTATACAAGGAGCTCTTAATTAGTATTTGAATATTTCAGGTGAGATTTCTTGCCTTTAGTAAAATTCATCAACTTCAGTGCTTAAAACCTGWCAAAGTCTGCTATTTCAGTACAGAGATGAAGCTCTTCCATCAGGAGACCAAATTTTTCTATAATTAATGCATATGAAGGTAATAGTTTTCCAGTGGAAAAGGAGAGAATTGTCACTCAGCCCCACAACGGCATTAATGCTGATTTCTCAGTTGGTTTCTCTCTCAACTGGGGAAACTAAAACCTCCATCCTTACCCTTTCAGGCACGGGCAACACTGTAATTGAGGCAGTGAAGGTGCTCATAGAGCACGGCGTGCAGCCCAGTGTCATCATCCTGCTGAGCCTCTTCTCCACACCCCACGGTGAGTCGAGGGAGGGGATGCGAGGGCTCCGAGCACKGGGGGGTTCGCGGGGCACAGCTGCACCATCACACGCTGCGTCGCGGGAAGAGCTGTCCCGCGCTCCGCTCAGGAGGGAATTTTTTCTCTGCTTATGGAATTTGTGAACTTTGCGAATGAACAGGGCACGTTTGGAGTGGGCAGTGGAGCTGCTCAGCATCAAGCAAAAGGCCGGTCACACCAGCAAGGCTGTAACTGAACCTCTAGACTCCGAAACACCCTGGGGCCAGGGCAGGACCGCTTCCGTGCTCGAGAACCTGCAGATCCTTCTCGCCCCGGGCTGGAGCAGCCCGGCTTGTGTCCAGTGGGTCATCAGAATAGTCAGGAACTGTACTGGCTGCATGCTAAACACTGCAAAGCACACAAGGTGTTCCAAAAATATTCTTTTTTTCTCAGTAGATTGAAGGTGTACATATATGCTTGAAACGAGAACCAAGTTTCTGAAGTTTTTCCTCACAACCAATAAGCTAAGCCAGAACCATGAACCAGAGATGGAAGAACAGAGGCTGGCTCATACACAGAAAGCTAATCACAAGTTAACAGGCTCTCCTGGAGTCTTGCTGCAATGCACTATTAATCCTTCCATTTTTCCCTTTCTCTAAAGGTGCCAAGTCTATCATCCAGGAATTCCCAGAAATCACAATATTAACCACAGAAGTTCACCCTGTTGCACCAACACACTTCGGACAGAAGTATTTTGGAACGGACTGACACATTTGCAACAAACTGATATGGCTGTATGATATTACAAGAGTTTTTTTCTACGTTTTATTACTGATAGCAGAGTTAGTTAAGGGCATATTTAAAAATTTCTTGGGCGGGGGTGGGAGGGGGAAATATTTGACCTGTTACTTCTAGTTGGTTACTGCTTGAACGTGGAATCAAATGCAGTAACACAACACCCTGAATCATTACAAACCAAAATCATCTTAATGTTGTACTTGTATAAATTGCTACACTCTGCTTTAACTTATTTATTCTTCTATAGCCTGTTTTGTGGCTGCTTGCAAAAGCAAATAAAACTAAATCAAAGCATTTATTAATTTTTCTTGCTAATGCCTGTATTGCTCCAGTTTAGCCATTGCAGCCACTCAACGATTCCAGAAGGATGGAGGCACTTCAAACTCAATGTAATCACATCACATTTCTGGCAGCATTTCCAGTCTTTGGATGGTGGCCATTAAYCAAGGATGCACCTTTGAATTTTGCTCTGGATTAATTTCAAATAGTAAAAAATTTGTCATTGTTTTGCTGGATGGTACTGAGGAAAGAAGCATTTATCTGCCCAGCAGACTTCCTATTACACTGTAAACTGGGGCTCAAACTGGAGAACAGGAGAAGTGCAGCCTGCAGAAGTTCTGCGCATGCAGAGTTTAAGTTTTAAATCTGGTGCAACTGAATCAACCAAATATTACTGACCATTTCCAGGCAAGGCAAAAAGCTGGACTCAAATTGGAGCTCTGTTCATGCAGCAGCAGTGCACGAACACACAGCACAAATGTGGCCTTAGTTATTAGCAGACTGTCAGAATACTGAATGCAGTAGCTGTATGAATCAGGGTTGGCACAACTCTGTGCTTCAATACAATGTATAGAAATATACTTTCTTTGCTCTTAAAGCTCAGCACATGATCTCTAACCCCTAAAAACTATCTAGCATCTTCTTTTTCTATAAATTAGGAAAAAATAATTTGCAGGGCCCATCTGTGATTTCTTTGCACACATGCACATTATAAGAACTGCGGAACCGGAGCGCCGYGCTCCCGCCCCGCGGCCCCGCCGGGCTGCTCCGAACACGGCGGCCGCCTCCGCTGCAAAGCCCTGCTTTTTGGCTCCTTCCGAGCTGAAGTTTTTCCTGAGCACGCGCTAATTCAGAGAAACAGCCAATCACAATAACCAATAAATTAGCCAAAAATGGTTTAATGCAGTCCTTGCCTGTGGTACAGTATAAACCACGCAGGCTTTCTAGTATAAACAATAACAGAAAACAGCAAGTCCCCACACACTGCATATCCAACTGTATAAACCATGTAAACACTTCAGGAGTGCTAGGGAAACACAAAGCATTTGTATTAAAGACAACGTTTGTCCAACAGTAAAAATGAGCGTATCAAAATCTCTTGTAAAAACCCATTTGATACCCAAAGTCTCAATGCCAGCAACAGCAAAGTCCTCCCCTGACTAAACGTGTTGCCAGGAGGCTGTTTATAACATTCATATCTTAGTAATTTAAGCAATRATTGAGTATTAAACAACAGAACTCTGATTGATGTGTCACATCCTTAGCCGAACGCAGCAGCACTTAATGCAAATTATGCAGACTCAAAATATTTAAAAATACCAACATCAGGTCCCGTGGTTTATCTACAAGCAACTGAATGCGGTAATATAATGTATAAAATGGAATCTCTGTTAATATTTCCAATAATTTACGTTATTGACATAGAACCCACCACGTTAGCCTGCCTGCCTTCCCTACAGCGTTAGCGGTGAGAAGGAAAAGCAGAAGTCGCTGTGACCCAGGCGGGAGGCAGCACYGGGCTCCCCAGCAGCTTTCTGGTGCACGAGCAGCTCTGCCCATTCCTGTTCTATCTATCACCAGGTTTCTTGCCAAATCGAAGGCCAGCACTGAACACCAATGAGTGACGCCACTTTGGTTCCCTTTGAAGCAAGGGATAACTCGCCAGACAGCTGAACTTTAACTGGATTAGTTAATCATGAACTTCAATTAATATTTGAAGGGCTCATTTCAAAAAACAAACATAAATATGTCTCTTCCAGCTGAAAAATACCTAAATGAATTCATAAAATAATTCCTGTTTCACATGCTTCCAGTGAAGGAGGAAGCTGCGATGGAAGCTGCCTGTTCCACCAGGGCCGCTGGTTGGACCTCCTGGTTTGGCTGTTTTCAGGTCTCAGCAAGAACCGCCCAAGTCCACAGTGAACGTGGCCTCTGCAAAACCCTTCCCACGGCTGGGGCCGGTGCCGAGCAGCTCACGAGGTTCCACCTACCTCCTCGCGYGGGGACTTTATGACGCCACTCATGAAATCTCCTTGTTGCTGGAGGCCGCGTCGGCAGCACCAAGGCAGGTGGCTCGTTACGAAAGCGGGAGGGAGGATCCACATCTCTGTGAGAGGACCTGCGTCTCCATGAACGAGGACCTGCATCTCTTGCACACCTGCTGCAGCACCGGATCCTCTGGGAAGGGGAACAGCCCAGCAACACTGTCCACAATCCACAGGATTTTGCTTCCATTTGCAAAGGAAAGCGCCGAGCTGGMGCTGCACAGGCAGGGCTTCCGTTTTAGAAAGCAGCCAGGCAGGACAGAGACCTTCTTCTCCCCATGCTTCCAGGGAAGCAAAAACTGAAAGTCCAGTAAGAACTAAATAGCAACAATTCCATCAACTAAAACACCTCTGTGTTTTATGAGCTGCCTGGTACTAGTACCTGGTACAAGACTCTGTCTTCTCAAGCACAAGTGGAAGAAGGAGAAAAAGAGGATCCCTCGTTTTGGGGTTTTGGTTTTTTACACAGAGCTCTTAGCATTTTTTGACTGGCTGTGATCCACCTAACGCTTTACAAATGCTGTTGTATTTACAAAAGCTGTTGTATTTACAAATGCTGGGTTTTTTCCAGTTGATACAGGAAAAAAGCAAATGATGGCATGAAGCATAAAGAACTTACAGATTCATATTTGAAATGTAAACTTAGGCTTTACTTCACACAGTTTACATTCCAAACTGAAGCTGCAAAACAAAGAAAGGAGKTTTTTTTTTTTAAGGAAGAAGATAAAAGCAGCACAGAAAGCTGGATCGCACTGCTTGGAGCAAAGCTGTCAAGGATAGGAACCATGAACCTGGCCACCAGTAAGTCCAGTTGCAAATGAAACACTGTACAATTTTTGAAATAGATATTTACTTACCTTCTTATTCTCCAGAGAAAACAGCACAAATAGTTGAAACCAGATATATTTTAACTGCATATTCAGCATAATGCAAGAAGTAGAAAGGAGAGCAAGAATAAAAGCATTTGACAGGGGGTTTGAGCTCAGTGATAACCAGCAGAGCAGGAGTCAAAGCCTGGAGCAGGAGCAGCTSCATGGCAGTGCCACAACCCTGGAGTGCTCGTCCCTGCCGAGTGCCTGACAGACCACGATTTTTAATGAAAAAGGCCACTCTACCATGCAAATGCTTTAATCGATGGTTTCAAAATGAGTTTATTTTCACAAGTATTCTGTAACAAAACAAAGCTGATATACCTGGAAAAATACCAATAACAATCAAGGTATTTTCAAGTACTATGGACCACTTTCAAAAGTTCGTACCCCCAGAGCCCCTGGAACGCACGTGGCCCCTTTGGCCGGGCTGAGGAGGTTTCAGGCTTGACATTCAGGCTGTGCTACAGACTTCAGTAACTACCACTACTACGTTGGGCTTTCAGGTCCACCTCAGAATGCAGAATTTTAAAAGCCTAATTGCTCTAGATTCTGCTGATTCCTATTTCTAATCAGCTCCAGGAAGCTCATGTTCATTACTGCTATGCTAAAAGAAAACCTCCCAGGCCTTAGCAGTCACAGTACACGCTAGGAGAACCCATTAAAAAAGTACAGTGCTACTCCCTGTTGAAAGGGACAATCCTGTCCTCTTCCAAAAACATACCCAGCAATGCAGCAGGAGACCACAGRCCAAACCACAGCGCAGCGGTGCTTGTCCAAGCCCCAATTCCTTACGCAGACCCCCTGGCAARGGGCAGGGCTTGCCACAAGATGACCCAGGGAGACATCAATATGATGCCTCATATGATGCTTTTGAGAGCTCAGTGTGTCTCGATGCAATGGGCAGCGGAGGGAGGGAGGGAAGCTGGGAGCCCGTTGGGGCGCTCGACTCTCCAGGGAGCATCACCCCGGGACAGGAGCAGCGCGGCAGCGACGYGGCTGCATCCAGCCGGGAAATTCGTCCTCCCCGCAACGACGCCCACCTGCAAGAGCCGCCTACAGCCCATGGGGGYCTTGGGACCTGCGGACAGGAGGCCTCTTTGTAAAACAGTGAAATACAAACAGCAACGGGCCAGGGAAAGGCAGGACATGCTGTACAGAAGACAAAGCCCTTGACTTAATCTAAGCRAGACCATCAATGGTCAACACTTTGGAAAAGATTCCCAGTGAAGGTCTGATGTCGGGAAGGAAGGTTCTCGGTCAGCCCAGCTGCCTCCCAGCACCATTACTACCTGCGGGCTGCCTGGCACGTTCACACGGAGCGTCCCAGCTCCAACACCCTCAYGGAAACTTRCCTACACCTGCAGCAGGGAAACAGAAAGCAAACAGAAACACACCTTTAAACCCATAAGATTAGGTGGTGCAATCAAAATCACTGCTTTTATGCTTAGATTAGATTTCTATCGGGCAGTGTTTCTAACGGCCCAAAAGACTCACCGAAATAACCGTGTTTGTCTTGGTAGCTAATCTGAAATCACACTCAACACCAGCTGCAATAATGCACAAGGCAAGAAGATCTGGAGAACAATGTTTTGAAAAATACCAAGTTTTCTCAGATCTGACTGTCCGTTTCTGTTGCAGCCTTTTTTATTCAGCCTTAATAAATCTTGGGCTGCAGAGGCACCTGCCCCACTCGACTGCTGCTTGGAAGGCAGAGCAGAACAGCACAGCTCTGGGCACAGAATCGACGCTTCGCCTCTAAGGAAGCAGAAGAGCAAAACGGAGCTTTTCTGGTCACTCTGACATACCTGAACTTCTCTACATTTTGTCCTGCTTAATTTTAACACAAGCTTCCTGTTTCTTTTTCAATTCTTCTGTTTCATTTGTGAAGCTTACAAAAATCTGACCAGTGTGAATACAGACCTGGAGTGRTTTTGAAGCTATCAAGTTGCTCGTTGTTTCTGCCTGGACAAGAGTTTGTTATAACCAGGTACAGGCTGAGCTGCTTGTAAGGAAAATGGAAAATCAGCTATACCTAGTCACAAGAAAAGCTACTTAATAACAGTATGCAAGCTAAGGAAAAAAGCCAAAGCATCATTTAAAAATACTCAGAAACATTTAAAGCTGTTTCCAAACATAATCATAAAGATACAGGTTTTAATAATAATCACAACTGAAGACAATCTATGTTATTCACTAACTAAGCAGTGTTGCAGCTGGACAGCAAACTGCCTGCAGGTCTTTTAGGCAGTTCTGTGACTGCCCGTTTGCAAAGAAATAACCCTGAAAGGAGGAAATGGCCCTAAAGAGAAGCAGATGCAGAAAGGAGTCAAGAACCTGCTCAGGAAACTCTTAGCAGCTCCACATGCCTGCAGACAAGCTCTGATATTCCTAGCCTAAAAATACTCTTAAGCTGGTGGAATGAAGCAGAGAGCTGCCAAATCATCTTCCTGTTTTTATGTAGTAGAAATTTAGAGACTGTAACATTTTAAAAGGCACAAGTAACAGCAGGAGCTAAATTCCTATGAATTCCTAGTGCATTTAACTGCCACCTTGCTCTAAAGACCCCATTTTGTTTTGGCAGAAATGAGGTGATTCATTCTACCGCTGTCCTTCACCAAATGCAACCTAAGATCCAGCAACAGAACTATTAGAAATGGGATGGATTCAGCCATCAAAAACCATTCAATTACAGAACCACCAAGGAGAAGCAGTTGCAGCCTCAGCAGCAGGGACATCCAGGGAGCAACACTCCAAGGAACAGGATGAACAACCTTCATTGTCGTCAAGACTGGAGAACTTACCCTGTCTCTTAAGATTCAAACTGTAGCAGCAGACATTTTATAGAACACCTTGCCTGCTCTGTACCAAACTGCAGAGATTACACACTGATATAAACCATGCCTTTTAGACAGACGTGTTGTATCAGATAATCAAATGCCTACTCTTAGGGACAGAAAACCTCCGCACGACTCCTTGGCCTCATTAATGTGCCACCAGTGGAGATACAGGTGGCTGCAGCCGAGTCAACAGAGGCAAAAAGATCCTGTATGTGGCCAAGGCCTTTGTCACCGAGCAGATACTCACCCGGTCTCTTATCACAACGTGCACAACTGCTGCTGAGTCACTGTCAACGCAAAGRGGCAATAAACAAACATAAAAATGGAGAGAAAATGGTGTAACAGATGATCTGAAAGGCAGCATATTAATACTTGAAGCATGCATCTAATTCAAACATGAGTGATGGAGTTGCCAGATCCGAACCATTCAGGTTAAAAGGAAAAAAATGGACTCAGATCTAGAAAACTGCATATCATACAGACAGCAAATTCTCAGGTCCATGCTGCAGAATTAAAATACTGGTGCTTTCTTTTAACTGCAAATGGAGTCAAAAAAATAGAAAAAAAAAATCTGATCACCCCCTGGGTGTTAGGGAGAGAAAAAAAATCCAACTCACGTATTTCAAATTAACACCTTCCTTTCTAACTCCATAAATATAAAAAATTCCCACTCAACGCCGATCCTGAGGTAATAATGCTCTTTTTGTTCTGCACATTCTGTCCTTTGGCCCTAGGGATTAATGCAAACTGCACTAAAATGCCCCCAGGTACCTGGAGTGGGATTTGGCCTCGAGGGTGCTCTAACTCCAAGGCTGCAGCAATGACACCGCCTGGGAGGGAGCACCGACAGCCGCAATATTCTTGAATCTCGATACTGCCAACACGCCCAACTACTCTATTTCCATACACAGCTGCACATGTTTATGCATGTTCAGCACTTTTACATTCAACACGCACACGACTACCAATTTAGCCCCAAATTTATGCAAGTCTGCTTCTCATTGAGTTAAACTTATTCAGATAGGACTTTACACACTTAGTAGAAAATGCCACTTGTTAGAGAAGGTTGGAGAATCAGTTTCAAAATAAATAGATTTCCCAAGAATATTATGGCTTGGAAGAATTCTGAGAGCTCRAGTCCCTGATGTTTGCAAAATGAAAAGGCCTTTGGAAATGCACTCACATCAGTTTTGTTTTTTCACCTATTTTGAATAAAAAATATATATTATTTATAAAATAAAGAGAGCAGGCCAAAGAAGACCGGCCAGAATCACTCTATAAAATTGTTCTTTTCACTCCATAACTTAAACTTATAAAGCCTCAAAACATCTGTGCAGCAGGATTTCTGGAGAAGCACTCGAGAATGCAGATCCCAACCACATGATACTTCATGATGCTTTCTCATCCTGAAGATCCATTTGTTTGCTGACCCTCAGAACTGAAGTCCACAAGAAGAGAAGGAGGTTGGCTCCTGAGAGGGAAGCTGAAATTTAAAGGAAGGAAAATGTGCAATTGTAAGCACTGATCTTATGAGCTACAATATATGGCTGTATAACCTTGACTTTGACCATTATTTTAAAGTCACATAGAAGGACAGGGAAAACGCTGCTTTTTCACTCCCTGGGTAGAAAGGTATTCTRTAGTTTTCACCAATTATCAACAGCAGAAACGTTTGTTTGTTTGCTTCCCTCTCAGTGGAAGAAAATAGAATCTTACCTAAAGCATGCAAGAAACCCATTTATTAAAATCTTGTGCTGCGCTACCCATGTGGAAAAYGAGGCAATGGATTACAGTGCTTCCACATACAATTTAGAGTTACCTGACATCCAGTTAATTAAGCGGCAAGCTGTAGCTGACAACTACACCTCCTGCAAGGGGGAGAGCAGAGGATGCTTCTCAAATCTTCCTCAGTGACACTTCACTGTACAAGTCTTTCATGGAGCCTGAGGAGGACGCAGGCTACAGCTCACTGCACTGGGACACATGTGGGTCCTTCCCCACTTTCATAAAAGTCAGAGCATATCATGCATCAGTGACCACCCTGGCATGCAGCATCTTCTCCAAACCATGTATCATCTGCTGTTGCACCCRTTTGTCAGGGTGAAGAAAAACTAGATCAATGTGCGGGCAGAGAAGGACACTGCAAGTCCCTCGCACTTACTCCCAGCTGCGCTGAGCTGGCAACACGGCCGTTCTCAAACTCAGTTTCTCTCAAGGCTGTTATCTCCACCTTCCATGAATCACAGATCTCCTTTTTAAAACTGCAGAACTTGGTGGCAAGAAATGTGGCTGTCATCCACCAGAGGAGCAGCAGGTTTATATCATCCCCTACAACCTGCCCCTTTCAGCTTTTGAGCAAACTGGGCAAGCACCTGGCCCAGCCACTGTTCCCCTTTAGCTTCTCCTACACCAGTTTCTCTGTCAGCTGTAGCACCACTAGTGAAACACGGTGCTGCAGAGCTGCATCAACACGATGCTGTGGTGAGAGATCTCTGGGCTTCACGTGGCTCAGGAACAGAGCTGGCSTTTAGAGCCAGTATCTGTCCACGATGACCCACCTATTAAATTCCCTGCAGAGATCCTGCTTTTAAGATAACCAAGAAAGAAATACTGACCTTTCTGAACAAGCTTTGTGCTGTCACATTGTCAAATCGCTACGTCTCCTTTTCTATGGCAAGGGATGAAGCTTCATTGGCATCTACACAATGAAAAATAAAGCAGTTAGAGATAAGTCCATTTCTTTCCTTCTTTATTAAGTACAGAAAAGTGTTTTTAAGCATCACACCAAATGAAAATAGGCAACCCCTTGTCAGAGCTAACCAAACACCATTTTCCAAACTGAGATTATTTCATTATTATTATTTTTTTTTAAACAGCCATGTCACACGCTCTAAAGCGACCATGACATATCAAGATCTTCCTGTTTTAATGGACTATTTCAATCTCTAAGTTAGGGAAGGGAAGCAGTAAGATTTTCTAACACAGAATTTGCAAACTCTTGATTTGTTGATGCTACAGGACAAAGAAAAGCAGCAATGAGAGTRAAACAACATCCCTTGTGTCACAACTTGCTTTGACTCATCCACGATCAACCTTTCAATTACATTATAAGTGATATCTTTGAAAAAAAATGATAACTTGATGAGCTGCCAGCATGTGATTTGGGGCAGCTTCCGGACTAGACGATTTAACAGATGCCTGTGAATAAAGGATGAGCATTAATAATTYTGAAAAAAAACTTCAAATTAACATTAAATCAGAAGCAAGTGCTTTCATTTTCTGGCGAAAAACAACAAAAAAAAAATAGAACAAGAATTTGGTTAAGACAGCTGAGAAAAAGGCCTGCACGCTCTCAGGACCTGGGCTGCCACCCCTTCTTGCTGCCAGCGGGGCCTGCCCTCTCCTCACTGACCTCCTAGTCCCCTTTGGGTTCCTCTCCCCTAAAAGCCATGTGATTTTGCGGTCGCGGGGCCTTAGGAGTGCACTGCCTTCTGCACACCCAGAACATCTGGATGGATAAAAGACTGCAGTAATGCAGTTCGGCAGGATAATGTTACACAAAGAAACACTTCATCAAGCTCCCCCGGCCCTCCCTTTTCTTATAATTATCTCTTTGTTGTTTCTCTCCTCTTCTGCAGGAGCCTGGAGAGAGGGACCGTGGCTGAGAGGAGCCCTCCTTCCTCCTGCTGCACAGACATTTGTTATCTGCACGGCGGGAATGGAGCACTCAAGAGGCGAGAGCAAAATGCCCTAAGAGAGGGATTTATCCTGTAGCAGAAAACTACTTCACATCTCCACGCGGGGCTTCCTCTTGCTGGATTCAGGTGCCCAGGCTGAGAGCAGAGAGGAAGATGTGCCTGGCAGTAAGAGAAATAAAGGCAAGATCCCCTGCTGTTTGCTCCAGCAGCTGAATTGCAGCTCCAAGTCACTGGCAGGTGAGAYATAAAGGATACAATGTCCTTATCTGGATATCTGGAGTCTCCACCTTTATCTAAACCCAAGCCAGAAAAAATTAAGCCTCACTGATCATGGACCAAAGTAGTAAGGTCAGCCATAACTGCAGGTATACAGTCTATTCTCTCCCTTTTAACTCTTTATTTTTTAAAATTGATTTATGCTACAGCTATACACACACCCCATCAGGAGGAAGAGGTATTTTTCTAACACACACATACTAATTAAAGCAAGCTGCTTTTCTCTGAATTAAAGCTAAAAGGAACCTCTTATGCTGGGGGGCACATTTTGCCAGCACTACCAGTAGGTGAAGGAAAATACAGGTTGTTTATTTTGCAGTGGAATAATTTGAAAATTGCAAATACAATCTTACTAGAGACTGGACAACAACAGAAGCCCACAGGAAAAGTCGTTGTTACAGCCTCTAACCAAGACTACTGACTTCCTCCTGGGCTGTGCACATATGACTAAAGCGTATGCCTGAAGGCGAACGTTCCTGGCAAAGTGCCTGAAAACTGAGGCAATAAAGAGAGTAACTATGGAAATCCCATCTCTGAACAATACAGCTGTGATTTCTGGTTCTCCAAGTGTACTTGTTTGGTTCCCTCGTTATAGTAACCTGGGAATTAACTACGCTTTCACCATTCTTGAAGGGGAAAAGGACAGTGAGGTCATCMTACTCCTTTTAAAGGGAACGTGGCTTCCAAATCAGTGCAGTGTTATTGTCCAAATAAATGCGGACGACATCCGAGCACTACAGAAAAAAACATGACTCCTTGCTTAATGCTGGGACAAGATTCATGAACCTTCAGAACATGGTAAATGGGGGCTTTGACATTAACCCTGATATTCTGATACACAGTGTRTTTTCCAAAGCCCAAAGCTTGGAGTTAAATAAGTGAGAAAGTCCCCTCATGTTGAAGGGCAGAAAAGTAATGGTAATGAATTATCAAACTCATTTTGCATGCATGTAACCAAAGCAGTCAAATAAAAGATACACAGATATATAGAGATATCTACAGAATAATAGATATTTATAGCTTTTTCCCCTAATAGGATGGTCCATAGCATAAAAAGTATATTTCAAGAAGTGATGAAATCTATTGAGCCAACATGTTGTATCATATATATGTCTTTTATACATTAGACAGTGAATATCTAGGCAAACATGAAGAGGAAATGAACTTCTTCTGTATTCTTATACTAAAGCAGAGCAAGCTAAGTATAAAATAGTTTCCCAAAGGTATCTCTGCATACAGGTGTTYGTATGCAGACTTGCATAAGCTCTCAGAAAAAATCTATTTTTAAGAATCATAGTCTTTTTGTTTTTGCATGCACAACTTCATGTCTCCAGTAGCTGTGCAGCACGCAGTAGAATTTACGTATCAATTCACAGTTTGAGGAAATCTCAAATTCTCTCTGCAACTTGAGAGTAACAACCTCTCAGTCCATTTATTTGCAAGTCTGAAGCTTTATCTTGAAATAAAAAAGTTGATTTCAAAGAAGGGCCTATTTATTCATTGATCAAGCCAGAGCTGCCTAGTGATTTAGCCAGCACTTGTAACTCATCTGCTAGTCCCTGTGCATCAAGACACAACTAATTTCTTTTTGTATTGCCTTACCATGTGGCTCTTCATCTATCCCATCATCTTCCCACTGTTCTTCATTTGCTAGGAGAGGATTCTGAGCTTCGCACAAAGCTCTCATCGGGAAAAAGTGTCCATCTCCCTGGCTACGTGGAAAAAGGCAGAGAGAAACACTGTGAAAGCAGCAAGTGGTTCTGAAGAATGAAAATCCTGAAGAATCAACCTGGACACTTGTTTTAGCTTTCATCTGCATATGACAGGTTTTCTCGTCTATATTCCCAACATTTACTTTAAAATATTTTTAAGATTTGAGAAATACTGAGTTTATTTTTGTGACAGCTCAGATACCATGTAGTTTTGATCCTGAATTCCTGCAAAGTGTTTGGAGACTAGAAATGATGTTACAAGCTATTTTTTAGCAGAAATCCATGTGCCTCAGTCAAGTTATTTTGAAATGAGGAGAAAAAAGACTAATTAAGGACAATTAGAAAGAAAGGGCGGTTGATAAAACCATGCTTGTAGAAAATCTATATCTTTTTTATCTATTTATACCACAGATTTTACTTTTGTACCTGAACCGTGCCTAATGGCAAATGGCCCCAATCTTAGAGTGACTGTCAAACAAGTGTTTGAGAATAAATTCACCCTGCGTTTGCAGGTGCATTTGCAATGATGCCTGATAGCAGTTAGCTAAGCACACAAGCACAGATGTGGCACATACAGCTGCAGCAGCCATCTAAAASTCAGTGTCTTCAGTTAATTTTATCAGCTTTTAGCACTGACTTGATTATTACTCACCTAGAGACAACAGGTAGTAACCAGAGYTTTTTTTCTTCTCCAAACACCTGCTGAAGGTTCTTTACGAAGCCTAGATTGAATCCATTTTTATCTGGGCCATTTTGAAACACTGGAGCTGAGAAAGCCTCTAAAGATAGATGCAATTTCAGTGGGGGCGGGGAAGGGAAATTATTGTCAAATACACTGAAACACGATTGTGCATCCAAAGATGACTACAACATGCACACATGATCTACTGTACTGTGAACTAGCATTACAAAGATCCAAAGTATGAAAGTAATATGCTCTTGAAAGCCTGTAAATACTTACGCAACTTTCAAATGAAAAGCAGGAATTTGTTCTTGCAAATGAAACATATGGAGTTATGGAAGCACAAACCCAACTAAAAGCCCATTTTTTCAATCTGCAGCAGAGATTTTAACAAACTTTACATAAGACTCGTGTTAAAACTCTGAGGGAACAGTGACACTACCAATTTCTAAATCAAAAATCTGCAAAATAAATAGGTCTGTCTTCAAAGCATATTTCTGAAGTGGCACTGGAGATTTAAATTGCCTCATTCATTAATAATATAATGAATAAGCATTAGGAACAAACATATGCAGATAGACCCTCTGTTACGGTGAAAAATAAAATYAAGAAAAGAAAGAGAGGGGAGGAGAACCTCAAGTGCACTAGAAATAGTTTTATCTACCTTCTAAGCTGCTGCAGAGGTCTGATGTTTTGTGCTAGATGAGCTTCRGTGCCCCTTGAAATGAGTTTTAAAGTTAATCATTTTACAAAATCTGCATATCCGCTCAGAGCTCTCAATACTGTGCACTTYGTTACAAAACTTTACTAGTTAAATAATCACTACCTGCGCAAGAAAATAGAAATGACTGCCCCAGATTCACAGCTTTTCAGATTGCCAGTTCACTGGTCTGATTTTACACACCTGACTTCTTTGCCTTCATCAGGGAAGGACAGTTTCTCCCAGCCTTGCTGAGCTGGTTCAGGATGCCCTCCAGAACATGAGCACGAATAAGCACATTACTAAAATGCTGCACTGAYGTCGCAGCAAGTGTGGTTACACTTATGCATATTGGCATAATTGGGCCCTTACACTTTAAGGCTCCAGTATTCCTAACAAAGCTTTCATCTCAATAAATGCATCCCTTTAAAGAGAGAAATTCCTGCAGCGTTGTGCAAAAATCTTTCAATTCTCCCTGTCCTCATAAACCAGCTGTAATATCTAGAAGCAGAACACAAATGTCTGTTCTCTTATACCACTGCTTTACTGGACACGCACACTCAGTCTTACCTAAGGTAGATCTGTTTCTGCTGACAAGCCAACAGTGATAGCCAAACAAGAACATCAGGCTTACGAAGAACATGACTGCCACAAAGAGAAGGAAAAGGACATGGAATTTGGAACGTCCATTAGTCAGCTCGCCCTGCAACGAAAAGCAATACAGAACAAGTGAGAAGGACAAATAAAAGAAGAAAATACTCCAGAAAAACAAAGATATCCTCTAAAACTCCTACTTTGAGTTTTCTAACTTGCATGCATAAAAAAACCCATTCCTTACTGCAAGAAGTGGGAAAAGAAAAAAGAAGAAATAATCTGGTTCATTCTCCCCGCTGCATCTCAAGCAGAAAAAGTGGGGATTTTTGCTATCACTTTTTTGGATGGAACAGAGCCAGTATGATCACAGCTTCCCATCTGGATCCAGGAAGCACATCCTATACCCACAGTGAAAGTGGCAGGTACGAGTTTTTTGAAATCCTGTTTGCATTCTGCTAAGCTTCCCTTAATCTTCATACTTTCCTGAACATGCACTAAAACAGTGCTCTTTTTCAGGGAAGCGTGTCGTCTTTGGAATGGTCACATTAAAATTTTCCAAATTTAGAAGCTTGTCATTAGCTTCAAACAACTGAGATACACACATTCAACAACAGATTTATACAAGAGAAGGATATAACTTCTTCTCTTCCAATATAAGGGATGCTAAGAAAGCCTCACCTTCTCCATAGCTATAGCACTAGCAAAAGAGGCAAATGTAGAGCTGAACATAGCTGCATTGTGGAGGAATAAACGTCAAACAAGTTCTCAGAGGTTATTTCCTTCTGCAGTAGGACAGGCAAGGGACTGAGGTCCTTGTAAGTAAATATCTACAGACAGACTGTGTGGGACCTCAAACTAAAAAGTTTCTTGTAAGTCCTTGTGCTCCCCATGTGTGTTAGCACACAGATAAAATCCTTGTGTCTTTCTTCATATGAAAGAAGATCCCTATACCATGAGTATCTCAGGACGCATTTTATTTAAGTGATTAGGTATTAAAAGAGAAAGAAATTAATAAATTAATGCACGGCAAAGTTAAGTTATTTAAACACAGTTATAGAGAGTTAGCAGCACAGCAGACATAAAAACCTAGAGAGCTAAGGCCCAGTCTCATACTGGAGCTGTCAGTTGGCATTGCTTGCATATAAATTTTAACTGGAAACCGAGTAAGGAGCAGGCTGTATTTTGGTCAGCTTTTATATTAAAAAGGTGTCATATGGGAATTATAAAATGAATATGATTTTTTAAATGACATATTGTTGTGTAAATATGTACAAGTCAGTGACAGCACGTTTTGCTTTATCTTAGAGCACAGAAAGGAACAGAGTCTTCAAAAAGTCAGCTTCTGGAGACCACCACATACAGCAAAAATATGGTAGTACCCTGGGGTCTGCTCTTTCCCGAAGCATAAGAAATCTAATCCAAAGATAACACTACAAAGAAAGCTGGAAAAAAATATATGCCTGGGCATTTTCAGGAAACCACATAAAAAGAATGCCACSCACCCACAATTAATGTTTTATTGCAATATGACTGAAACACGTAGGTGGCATTCTTGCAACCACTTTAAAAGTGCCAAATGTTGACAGTTGAGAACTTCTACTTAGAAGACAATTATTTCCTTAATCAGTAGGCTTTTGTTCTTCTCCTTTTAAGTGAGGAGATATGGTCAGCTAATAGCTGCTGTATTTGAAGTTGGGAAAATTAACCACATTTAAGACAAAGCTCTCTTTCAGTGAGGTGTGCCTCCTTTTGAATTACATTTGATGTTTCCATATTAAGAAACTTGTGATTAGTTTCTTTTTTTTTTTTTGACACACATATCATCTAATAGGTTTGTACAAGAAAAGAATGCAACTAACTTCTTTTCCAGGAGCTAAGTCTATAAGCTGAGATTCTTGAAATCTATGTACTCCTCAGTCTGGATATCAGACATAAAATGGGAGTTACTCATATACGGGCTGAGGAAAAAAAGGTTATAGGAAAAAGGCCTCAATGAATTGAAAGTAAACAAAGTAATGAAASAGTGATTAACCCCCAACGAGACTCAGAAGATATGGAAAAGTAACCAGATTGCACAACTTACTGTCCAATACTTAATGAAATACTTGAAGACTGTTGCAGCAATATACAAGCAATACAACAGAGAATAGGCTAAGAACAGTAGAAAGAATTTGTAGTTAGAAAATCCAATGCAGTTATTCACCCTAGAGAATAAAAGCAAAGTTGAAATCAGGATATGTATAGCACATAAAGACAATGAATAACTTTTTTTTCTTTTTATAYTTAAGGTTCTTAATCATACAACAGAATTTCTTCAATAAATAGCTCCCCTTAGTGGTCAAAAGGAAATGTAAATCAAATTATTTTTTGCTTTTCACCTGATGGCTAGTAATGCCAAGTCAAAATACTGTTCATATTTTTGAAATTCATTTTACAGTTGCTGCACTGGTAAATGTGTCACTGCTGCAGGCTTTATTTACTCATGCCTATTTCTGGTATGCAAAAGTAATCAGATTTAGAATTTCTACTTTATGTCTACTGTTYGGAAAACTGAGGAGTCACATTCACCACGGCAGTACCTGGAGTTGCTTATATACCTGACATATCAACCTGCTATTTGATTATAATTCACCRCACATAGAACAACTCCAAAGAGGTACAAAGGAATGCAGAAAAATTAGTAGGCACATTTGTCTCAGAATTCAGGTTGCAAAATCCTTCTAAATTTAGGAACACCAGGGAGGTTCTAGTGGGCATATGTCTGCGTTGCTTATAATTTCCGAAATCTTCCTTTTAAGGACCATGCACCATTCTCCTTAACATGCACAAGTGGCAGGCATCATTTCAGAAACAAACTGCATGCAAATACTACTCTTGAAAGCAAACACTAACTGCATGCTCCAAGGATTATATATCCAAATTTAAAAGCTAAGTTGAGTTGCCTTTAAAATTTGAATAATAATCTGAATAAGACTGAATTAGTATTTGTGTTTTAAATTAYGTCAATACAACAGCTTTTTATGCATAGCTAATGAACAAATATACGAATAATCTGTCTCTCAAAAACATCAAGTATTTCAGGCAATTTCAAAGTATGCTTATTTTATAAATTTCCCAAAATAAAGGGATATATGGTCTAAAATGAGACACACATATTAAYATGATTCTGAGGAGTAGAAGCATTTAAGCAGCCTCTATTTTCAGAAGATTACAAACTAGTATCTAGGACATACCATGGACAGTGATGATCCATTTTTAGCACACATCTGTAAAAGGACAAAAAAAAAACAAAAAAGGAAAACTTGTATTTGGTACTTAATTGCCAACTGCARGTCTACAGCAAAAGCCTCTGGTATTTTGAGCAGATTTCTACAATCTGAAGTTTAAGATGATACTATTTCTCTGAATTCTTTAAGGTAAGCATTTTAAGACACTTATTTTTTAAGATCTACCAATGTCTTTGGTACTCCGGAGGATAAAAAAAGAACATGAAGATGATTCCTGCCATGGAGGGCTTAAACCCTGGAAAACATCACAGGGAAAACCTAAAGGCCTGGAACATTTGGGGAAAAAAAAAAAAAACCAACAAAAAACACCCTGCTAAGAGCAGCCGGTTAATTTTTCACTAGAYGTCACAGTTTCTTTCAGCTTCACACTCACATATCTCTAGGTGTGGAAACTGCAAACATTGTAGGGCTGCAAAGAGCACAAGAGCAAATGGTAATGCTGTCACATAGGTTTATACAGTGGTGCCTGTTACAGAAGCAGTTACTTGGTCCCTTCATGCGTGGAAAGATACATGAAGGACCAGCTCATTCCTATATTATATTTCCTTCAGTGAAAACAACCCATTAACTTACATAGCACAAACGGAACAATGGTGACAGCGATCAGGTTTTATTAGCTGGCATCTATCACAGAATCGAATACCTGAAATTAAAAGAAATATTAGCACTGAGTAAAGTGATCTTTCCTTGCCTGTTAGTTACTATTCTGCACACTTTGTAAATGTTTATATCTCTTTCCTCTATCACTTTAAAAGATGGGTGCACTGCAGCTTTCCTGGCAGGTCAAGATCAGATAAGCAATGCTCATAATTCCTCTAAGGATTTGCAGATGAGGGAGACAATCCTCATTTTAAAGTATAGGATCAGCTTAAATATCGTAAAACAAAAGTGCACGCTTCCCTTTGACTTCCATCCTTAGTCAAGACTTTAAAGACATTCCAATTTTGTAATTGCCTATAGAGCAGTTCTTTGCTTCAGAATCCTTTGGCTTTTTGAGTAGAAGTGAACAGGTCAGAAGCTCCTATCTGAACATGGATTGCCTTTAAGCTTTGAAAGGAGGTCAGTGTTCATTTAACCACAGAAAGAAAATCTGTTTAGAGAATTATGTTCTGCCATCTTAATTAAATTAAATTCCATCTTGAATTCCATCTTAAGTAAAAATTACCGTAGATTTTGGCTATTATTATACATGAGACAAGATAAATACGTCCTAAATACAAAGGGTGACATATTGCTGCTCAAAGCCAGCAGCTAGTACTCCACTGAAGTATTCAAGGCTTGTGCTTTTTCCAAATATACTTATATTTTCCCAAATACAAAGAGAGAGGAATCATTAGAAGTCTTGGTATGAGAGCTCTGCAGTGCATACAGGAACACTGGGAAGGCKCTGCAGATCTGCAGCATAATCTGCATCGCCAACATATGCCACCGAGCCTGCTTGATTAGATTGAGAGAAACAAAGTCCTTAGCTCAGCTGACCTCCGTTCCCCGTCCTCGTGTACACCGGCAACTTCCTCGCGATTTCGGCAAGAATTTGCCTCTGCACCTCTGGCCTTTCCTCATTTTCATAGCGCTCTTTGTCAGCGTAGGACATATGGAACTAGGAACAGAAGTTACAAGAGAACCAGTTACTCGTGTAGCAGGGGAAATATTTCAAATATTATGTCTGGACACACTTTTATTGCCCACTCCCTAGATCATACAAGAATAATCTGATGTGAAAAAGTGTTTAAGAAGATATTACGAGAGACAGCAAGCACTGGACAGGCAGAATGCAATGCCTCATTAGCTGTTAAATTTGTCTTTAGGTTCCTTTAGTATCCTTAGTGTTTGGGTATAATGAAGAGGAAAAATGAAAAACAGAAAAAGAGAAAAAAATGACAAATGAAACAAGCTTAGCTACTATGAAAGCAGCTACTCAAATCTGAAAAGGGTTTTCAGCAGGGCAGGCAGTGCTAGAGTTCTAGAGAAACTGAATGTTCACATGTGTGCCACAGAGATGTGAGGGACAGCTGGCTCAGGAGGTGACAAACCCTCTACAAGATGCACTTGTTTCTGTCTACACTGTAACATCCTCAACAGAGAGTGAAATCCCAAAGTTGAGGTCCTTACTCAAATGTCTGCAGTAATGCTAGGCTGAATAAGGTTAGGATTGGCTCAACTTGTTAAATGCTTGGAGGTCAAAGACATTGTAAATAATTAATAAACATAAATCCTATTATGCGCAACATTAAAAATCTAATTTTCTCCTGGAACATCTGAAAAGGCCACTCCAGAAGTTAGCTGTGTGGCTGATTTAAGTTATATCCTCTGAGGAGTCAAAGGATTCTCAAAATGGTAAGTTGCTCTCTTTTCCAGTGAAGTCTAGGTCACTTTTTGTCTCTTTAGGAAACAGATCAATTGTCCAAAACTGATGGATTTTTGAGTTCTTTCTTTAGCTTCCTCTTTGCAATGTATGAAAAGTGCTTGGGCTCCTACCTTTTTATCTGGCTGCACYGGAAGAGTAAAAATAGATTTCCAATATGTCCACACGAAGAGCACGAACAGAATATGGAATATTGTAAGATAGGCCACTAAAAAAAATAAATAGAGGAAGAGAACAATCACTTCTTAAGCAGAGGTTCACTTAAGAACATAACTCCAGTTTTTCACAATGACAGTAAAAACAATACCCAAAAGTATTACGGGTACAACATTCAACACCACTTAGGAGACTTTAAATAATAATGTGTTCTAGCAGAGCTTCACATAGCCAGGAAAAGACAAATCTCTTGCTAAATGTCTTAGATCCGCCACAGCTCACATTAAAAAATAAAATCTCAAGATTGTAAGCAAAGCCCTGCAATTACTGAGAAAGAACAGTAATCCCCCAGATGCAACATTATCACATGAACTGCAGCATGCCTCAGAGCAAACTTGATTTCAAAGACTTTGGGCACAAGCAAAGCATACAACAGCTCAGAAAGCCAAAGGACAATTCTCCTATGGCTAAACTTTTTTATTTTCTTAATACCCAAGACTCAATTATACATTATGATACAAATACAAGACTGAAATTGCTAGCATTTGAACTATAACTGAAATAGGAAAAATTGGGTTATTCTCGCAGTTAAACAATGGGTTTAATTAAAACTGTCTTATATTAAATTGATTAAACTGATTAAAACAATTACTCCTGCTGGAAAAATCCAAGCTCCAAATAACTTCTAACTTCTCAGGCAGACTGGGAGAAAATTCACCTGGCATGAAGGCCAAACATAGGCCAACATAAAGCTTTGACACTTTCRAGTGACACAGCAAATGATCCGGGCTCACAAGACCACAGCAGATTGTGGGACTGATCATATGAATCAGTAATAATTCACTATTTTACTCCTACTAAATGCAGACATAGTTCAGTCAATTTTAAGCTGTTTTTTAAGGAGAGAATTTTGCAACAGGTTTCCTTCTGTTGAGGCAATCCAGCAGCGCGTTAGAGGAAACTGACCTGGAATGGCACAACAGATTTGGCAAGTAACTTTTCCCTTCATTTTTTCCTGCTGAACAAATCACTAACATTGTCCTTTCTGTAACTTCTCTGCAAGGGTTTCAGACATCAGGACATCTGTCTTGTGCAAAGAGAATTTCCCTCCCGCAGCAACCCGGAGGATCTTTAGCATCTCTCCATGGGACAACCCGGCAGCTGAAACCAGCCACAACTTCCTTGCAGCCCCGGCACAGGAAATGAAGAGAGGCCATCTGACCTACCTAGAGGAGGAGAAATTACCGAAATTGCCACTAGTTCCTTTTCTTAGGGCCTGACTGTGGCCCTCCAGCAAAGGGAACTGTCTAATAACCAAGAAACTCTGCTTCCCTGCCTGATTTGTTCAGCAATGTCACGACGGCTGGATCCTGGCATTCGATGAGTGGTTACAGCCAATGGAAACAAATGTAAAATTTTTGGAAAAGTATCTCTTTTACATTAAAAAAGCAAAAACAACAACAACAACAAAAAAACAACTCATAAATAGCTTTCACTGAAAGTACCAACAGCACATGGATTGCAAAGGGGAATCGGTGTTTCCAATTCAACTTACAAAAACAGCTCTGGAGGATGAAAACGGAGCGGAAAGGCCTGTGGTCACGCACAGATAAACTCAGAGAGGGTTTGGGGGAAGCACAGCAAGGGTCACTGCCTTGCACTGATCCCTTCCTTGTCACCCWGACTAAGCCGGGGGAATTCCCAACACACCCATCGCATTCCTTGCAAGACACGCTGGGAAAAGCTGCAGCTCCTGGGAGGAAACCCTCAAGGGGTGACTCACTTTGACAGGACTGGGGAAAGGCCAATTTTTTTCCAAATCCTTTACACTTTGTTCTCTTCCTGCACTAGCAGGGCCAGTGTTTAGGCACCCAGGGACAGTGCCCTTTCACATCTACCCCATGGGCAGCTGCAGATAAGCAAAATACAAAAGTGTTCTTAAAGGGCATTTATTCTATTCACAAATATTGTCACATAAGGACTAAATGCCAAAGGAAACTCACGTACCTTTTTCCACAGGGTTGCTCAGAGTCACTGAAAAAAAAAAAAAGAAAGAAAAGATAGAAAACAGGCGCTTATGGAAGAGCTACGACCCCCGCACAAGCTCTGGTGACAGAAGGCAGCCCCGGTGTG